AAGGTTCTTAAATTTTAGCACCTATTTTAGAAAATTAAATCATTAATATTTCTGTAACATTTTTAGAATTTATTCTTGTTTCAATCATGGAACATTGGAATTTGGTTTTGATACAATGATAAAAACATTTCATAACACTTAAAAATCATAAACTAATATTAAAATATATGAGGCTTCAAATCCCTAACCACTCATAGCATGGCATACACCACAGATATCACTCAAATACTGTCTTGGATTTCATAGGTAACCTTCACAAGACTATACTTCAATTACAAAACTTTTTAGAAAAACTTTTTATTACAAAAGCAAAGTGATTTCTTTATTCAAGTTAATTTGAAAGTTGTAAACTTGTTTTTAACCTACACCTAAAATTTATTTTAAAATTGTTTGAGAAATTTTTAAGTCAACCCTGTTTCTTAATCTTATAAACAGTAACATTCAAGTAGTCTCAACATTTCAAAGTAAACATTTTAATTGTTCACACTAAACTTGATAGTATGATTAATATTTTCAAACTTCTAATATGTATCTTGAAAGCTAAACAAGCTTTACTAGCAAAAATAATATTACTAAAATTCTTACCGTAGTGTGACATACACAATTACCTTGTACAGCTTTCCCACAAATAAAAATAAATATGATTAAAAACAACAGAGAGCCTTGGGATGGACACATCATATTTTTCTTCAATAAATGAGGCCACTTCAAATATCTGTCAGCTCTCTGTGGAAAAAACTACAGTACATAAAGTCTTCAGTTAAAAATTTCTGGAAGGCTTACAACAAAAACAGAAGCCAATACTTACTAGTTTCCATGCCCTCGTTTGAAATAACACCCTTCATATGAAAAACAAGATAACTTCTAGAAAGCCTGGCATTTTAAATCATACAAATTCTTTTTATCACTTCATGCCGACATTATAAATCCATACTTTTGCTAGATAGGCAATAGGTAGACAGAGTATAACTTTATAAATTCATCTAGTTTTTATGAGTCACATTTTTTTGCCTTCAGAAAAATGCCTTTGAAAAGGTATACCTTAGTAATTGTGAAACTGTTTGCACAAAAATAGCAAGGAAGAAGAAACAAGAAATGGAAATGGAAGAATATAATATTGGAAATATTTTCATATGTTAAGTAGAAATTTGTTCAATGTTAATATCCGTAATAGGTAATTCAGAGTTTATGTGTACATTTCTATGAATTTAGCTACTATTAATGATCATACTAACTGCAGAAATGTCAAACTTCTAGAACTCCAATTTTTGTGTTTTGCAGTTCTATTGTTAAAAATTCTGAACCATATTGGAAATATTGTTATTGAAAATGACCATTCACGGAAGGTAGGTAGATCAACGCCTATAATGAGCCTTCAAATTTTCCTTTACAATGACTTCTCTTCATTCTAGAAACTTAAGACTTAAGACTCTATTCTTGTCTAATTGAGGTTAAATAAATTTCTTAAGTCTTGCTTATGATTCAAAATTTTATTTTCTCTATCTCCTTTCCTAGCCTGATAATTGCAAGACAAAGACTGTAGGTTTTATGGCAGGAGCATAGTGGCTGACACACAATAGATACAAATATGTACTTAATAAAGAAATATATTGAGCCTGGGATTTAGCTCAGTGGTTCTACTGGTTTTGTAAACACAAGGTGCCAAGTTGGATCCCCAGTACAA